AGCAAACTCGCCTGACCTTAACCCTATAGAAAATCTATGGGGTATTGCGAAGAGGAAGATGCGATACGCCAGACCCAACAATGCAGAAGAGCTGAAGGCCACTATCAGAGCAACCTGGGCTCTCATAACACCTGAGCAGTGCCACAGACTGATCGACTCCATGCCACGCTGCATTGCTGCAGTAATTCAGGCAAAAGGAGCCCCAACTAAGTATTGAGTGCTGTACATGCTCATACTTCAGGTTCATACTTTTCATGTTCATACTTTTCAGTTGGCCAACATTTCTAAAAATCCTTTTTTTTGTATTGGTCTTAAGTAATATTCTAATTTTCAGAGATACTGAATTTGGGATTTTCATTAGTTGTCAGTTTTAATCATCACAATTAAATGAAATAAACATTTGAAATATATCAGTCTGTGTGTAATGAATGAATATAATATCCAAGTTTCACTTTTTGAATGGAATTACTGAAATAAATCAACTTTTTGATGATATTCTAATTATATGACAAGCACCTGTATATGCTGCCGTCATTTCAGCAACACGTGGACATTCCGACAAGGAGAGAAGACACTCTTGACCTTTGTTATGGCAATGTTTCAGACGCATACATCTCAAGGGCTCACCCTCTGCTTGGCTTCGCAGACCACAATGTTGTTTTTCTACTTCCGCATTACAGACCGGTACTGAAAAGTCACAAGCCGTCGGAGGACGCAATTACAAGGCTCACTGGCCTGCATGGACTGGGACATTTTTGATGTCAATCTTGATGCGAGAGTGTCATCACAGACTACATCAAATTCTGCATCACTATAACCATACCAGTTAAGACCTTCAAAACAATATCCAAACTCCACACCCTAGATAAATCATCATATTAATTACAGTTTCAGGGAAAAACGGAAAGCCTTTCAACAACAAGACTGGGCCTCACAAAAACCATCAACCGTCAAATAAAAAATGACAAAGCACAAATGCAAAGAGAGACTTGAGCAGGAATTCAGCAACATGAGCACTAAACAGGCTTTCCAAAAAGTAAGAACACTAACCAGACATGATTCTAGACGCAAACTAACCACAATAACAGATCCATCATCTTTTGCTGAAGAACTGAACATTTTCTACTCACGGTTTGACACCATAGACTGCTCAGAGGAATGCAAGGCACTACTGGCAAACCTTTCAGCCCTCGAGCCGGCACTCTCTGCTCCTTTCACAGTAGAAGATGTGAGGCGGCATCTGAGACAGTGCAAACCAGGCAAGGCTCCAGGACCGGACGGCATCCAAGCGCGGGTGCTGAGAGACTGTGCCATGGAGCTCTCTCCCATTCTAAATTCCATCGTCACAGAATTCTACAGGACTGCCTCCATACCCACCCTGTGGAAAACATCCACCATCATACCAGTGCCCAAGAAACCCCGCCCCTCAGAATTAAATCACTATCGGCCGGGTGCACTCACCTCAATAATAATGAAGTGTTTTGAAAAACTGATTCTCAACTGTATCCTTCCAATTGTCGGACCACAATTGGATCCTTTACAGTTTGCCTACAAGGCCAAAAGGGGGACAGAAGATGCAGTGGCATGCCTTCTGCACTAACTACTACAACACCTTGAATCACTTGGGAACTTCTTTTTATTGACTATAGTTCGGCCTTCAACACTATTCAGCTTCACCAGATGATTAGGAAACTCCACCATCTCAACGTCCCCTCAGTTCTCATTCACTGGGTATGCAGCTTCCTCAGCAGTCCATTTCTGTTTACTCTATACACCAATGACTGCACCAGCCCCTCACCTGTTACCACTGTGGTGTCCATATATGTGCATTTGACTCATAACAGTTCAAAATAGCACTGTAGCAGCAGGACAGAGGGTCAGTGACCTCCCAAGGGGAGAGCAGTGATTGGTGGTTATGTAGGGACTGAACCCTTCTATAGAATTTGACCTCTAACCCTTTGTTTTGTTACCTCAGAATAGCACTGTACCCTTCTATGGGTTTGAGCTTTATTTTGCAGACTCAAACCCTTCTATGGTACCTAGCAGATACCTAAACATATCCTATATAAGATGTTTGATGTATAGAGAGACAGAGTGGTCATCGGGCTGGGTCACTCTCCAAGCTGCTGCAGAGCTTGTAATTGATGCTGAACTCCTTCATGTAATAAACTTTTCCGATCAAGAACAGTGTCAAGCGGGTTTCTTCTCAACACATCATCGCAGCATTATTGTTCGGACACCACACCACATATATCAAGTACTCTGACGACGCTGTTGTTCTTGGTCTCCTTAATAACAAAAACTCTGTTTTAAGCTATCAAGACCATCTCTCACCTCACGCAGTGGTGTTCAAATAATTATCTTCAGCTGAATGTTGCAAAAACAAAAGAAATGTTGATTAACACACCCAACACCAACAGCACAGCCCATAATGTCACCCCCAACTCTACATACATAAATAATGTAGCTGTTGAATGGGTGGAGTGCTTCAGATACCTCGGGCTCACTCTGGACAATAAACACTTTCAAACGCTGCCAACAAAGACTCTCTGCCATCCGTAAATTTAAATCCCTTTCGGTTGCACCCCACCTTCTACTGCTGCTCTACAAAAGCATAATTCAACCCATCCTTCTTTACTGTTCAATCTGTTATTTCAACATACTCACTGTGACCAATAAGAACAAATTTGTGTTCTACATTTCTAGGTCACCCGTGACATTCATGGCACATCAGCCCCTGTCACGCTTCTGGGAGATGCAGCATACCTCCTCATGCAGCCTTATCTTCACAATGGACAGCTAACTAACGATCAGCAATACTTCAACTACCGCCTCAGCCAAGCTCGTATGACTGTGGAGTGTGCTTTTGGTTGACTCAAAGGACGATTTTTGTCTGTGCTTCTGACCATCTGGTGCCCTGGTGCAGCCAGAACAGTCTGGAGCTCAACTCTCTGAAGACAGTGGAGATGGTGGTGGATATTAGAAAGAGCACAACCCCACCCTCCCCCATCATCCTTCCTGGGCACCATCATCTCCCAGGACCTCAAGTGGGAGCTGGAAATCACCTACCTCACCAAAAAGGCCCAGCAGAGGATGTACCTCCTGCGGCAGCTGAAGAAGTTCAGCCTGCCAAAGACAATGATGGTGCACTTCTACACCGCCATCATTGAGTCCATCCTCACCTCCTCCATCACCATCTGGTACGCTGCTGCCACTGCCGGGGACAAGGGCAGGCTGCAGCATATCATTTGCTCTGCAGAGAAGGTGATTGGCTGCAATCTTCCTTCACTTCAGGACCTGTACGCCTCCAGGACTCTGCAGCGAGCAGGAAAGATTGCAGCTGACCCCTCCCTCCCTGGACGCAAACTGTTTACGACTCTCCCCGCTGGCAGGAGGCTGCGGTCCATCAGGACCAAAACCTCTCGCCACAAAAACAGCGTCTTCCCGTCTGCAGCTAGCCTCATCAAGAAGGCCCGAGTCCCTCGCTGATTGATACTCCCCCCTTTCAAGTAATACAAATGTCTCATTTCATGCACAAAGCTGGCACATTGCACATACTTCTTGTCAATTGTTAATCCTTGTTGTTCTATAATTTTTGTATTTTGTCCATTTATATATTCATCTACACAATACTCTCTTCCGTTGCAATACGTCTTCACAACACAAACCCGGAATAAGGCACATGTAAATATCTGCCACGTTGTATTATTTTTCTCTGTTCTTTTTATTATTCTTATATAACTTGCATTGTTTATTCCATATTTTATATTTCTAGATTTATTTATGTCAACTGTATGTTTGTCTACCTGTAGCACCTTATCACCAAAGCAAATCGTATGTGTAAAACACTACTTGGCAATGAGCTCTTTCTGATTCTGATCCCTGCTTTGACATGTACAAAAACCTGGAGGCCACCTTCACCTGCTTCCCAGCAAGTCGCTTACATTTGTGCACATAACTAAAAGTGGAACAAAGCTATAAATAAGTCTGTATTTGACACACAAAGTTCACTTCAGTGTCCTATGAGAGGTTGTTTTTTTTTCACATCTTGTATATAGGCAGTTTGGTCAGGTTTAGGCAAGAAAAACTACTTGGTTAGGTTTAGGAAATCGCCACAGGCTTCACGTAAACCGAAGCAAACGCAGGACTGAAGCATTGTTTGTTCTCAGGCATCTTGTTGTATGTTGCACGTCTTGGTATTTGATTGTCTGTAACCATTTAAAGTTTTCTCCTTCAGTCTGCTGCAACTGACAAGGAACATATGCTGCGTTCAAGGCATCTCGGAACTGGGAAATTTCCGACCTCCAACTAGAAACAGTACTTTGGAACGCCATTTGAAGTCGGATATCCTACTCGCGAACTCGGAGAAAAAATATGTACCCGAGTAGCACGAGTAGCAGCCGAATGACGTCGCACAACAATGGCAGCTCCCGTGGAAGCACACATTGTAAATGGTAAAGCGGAAACTAAAAGGCAAAGTAAAGTATTCAAATAAAATAATACATACTAGTCTCAAATAGTAAAACTTGTTCTGCATGTAAAGTGATGTAGAAATATTTTGTCAGTGTAATTAGGTAGCTGCTTACAGTAAACAATATCTGAAAGTCATCTTCTGTATCCAAAAGTTATTGAGGAAAATGTTAAAAATGCCCAGAAATGTGAAAACATTTGGAAATATAGCCTAAAACTTTTGCTGACTTTTGAGGATTACCAACTGATGTAGCTAGAAGGATGCACAGTTGACGAGTAACGTGTATTTCTCACTTGTTTTAAATAAAATGGCCATCCTTTTAATTAACACCGAGTGCACTGTTGAGGGTTTAACTTTGCATAAATTACATTTAGCGTCTTGCACCACCATGCAACTGAAACGCTTTGTATTTCAACTTGGAAATTTCCCAGTTCCGACCGGTCTGGAATGCAGCATCATTCCAGGTTTTTTTATTGGTGACTAGTTTGCACAGAGAGAGGCAGGTCTTTCCCCTCAACACAATAAATAGCAGGTGTGTGTTTCACTGCAATCAATTCAACTCAACTCAAGCCAGATCTTCTAAACACCATGCTCTGCTCCAGACTCTGCACCACCCTGTGTAAGTACGCAACTAACTTACTACAAGGTAGATTTAGTCATCATTTTTCAACACAGGGTTGTATAATGAGATTAAGTTGTAGTTCCATTTAAGCTACTCACAATTTATATTCTGTAGATGAGTGGATAAAGAACAAGTCACACCAAAAAATGCCTATTTTGCATGGTGCAGTGCTGAGATTGAGTTTAGGGGTCTCACTGGGGGAAGAAGCTGCTCTGTAGTCTGGCTGACAGCAGATACTTCTGTATCTCTTGGGTTCTGGACTCTGCGCAGGCACTTCAGCTCCCCTGTGAAAGATTTTAGTGTTTCATGGTGTTACCATCAACTCCCAGAACATTGCTAAACTGGATTTACACAGAAGTTACAAGACTAATAAACATGTTTTTTTTTTCTCTTCCAGTGCTGGCAGCAATGTGTTTGCTTATGAGAGCAGGTAACTGGATGTTTTTGCTCTTTGTCCACTGGTCACTTTCATTTCCTGACTTCACTAATCGTCCTTCTCTCTCTGCCTTGACTATACGCTCATCCTTAAAACTTATTCCACAACAAGTGTGTATTTATTCCAAAATGCATGACTCCAGAACAAATTTTTCATTCTAGGACTTTCTAGAGCCACCGTTGTGGACCCCTCGTCCAAGGTGAAAGTGATCACATGTGATGACGACGTCCAACGCCTGAGCTGTGGTATGACTGAACTCAAAAGTTTGTGTTTTTAAGGCAACAAGCAAAACAATTTAGTCCCCTGTAAGTGCACTATTTTCCCAGTTGAAGTCTTTTGTGTTTTAATGAAAGTACTGTAAACTGAACAGATCACATTGACAGACTAACACTGTCAGTTTCGGACTTCTGTTGACAGTATAGAGAGACCAAGTTTTGCTCTCTGACCAAGTTGTTTCCCTCTGGTGTGTAGCACCAAAAGGAGTGATCAGTGTGCAGAATGCTGTGTAGGACGTGCAGACAAGGCGACCTGCAGTAAGGGCAAATCTCCCCAGCAGCTTGCCAA